AAAAAAAGCAAGGAGTATGAGAGAATGACAACAACTAATCAGGAAAAGATAATAAATCAAGTTGAAAACTAACAAATTTGAAAAAACAGTCCATTTACCTTTTCTTCTCCAATAATGACAATAAAAGAGCACAAATGTAAAAGAGGTAGAAGAGGACAATGAGAGTGAGATGAATTGAAGATGACGATAGAGAGATGGCTGTGTAAATTGAGTGTTGTGGCCGATTTAAGATCTTGGAGCAATTTGAATCTGGAATGGCAATGGAGGAAGCTTTTGGAATGCGTTTAAAAATGATGATGGAGAGAGATAAAAGAAGCATTTGGAGACTAGAGAGCATTGAAAATGTGCAAAGAAAAGCACCCGTTTTGCTCTGAATACCGTACACATTAATAAAGAATGTTTTATTTTTCATTTTTAGTTTTTAAGAATATCCATAAGTATTTTCTATTTTGACTCCAAAAGCATTTTTAGCCAAAAAAATCTATAAGAATTATTTCCTATTATAAACATTTATTTTTTTATATTTATATTATTTTACATGTATATAATATTATTTTTATTTAATTATTATGTTATTAGTCTAGCCACCGGTCTAACTGACCCGACTGTTTGAATCATGACTCACTGTCTTTTCTGGTTCAACATCCGGTCTGGTTTTTAAAACATTGTGTTTGAGTAGAAACTAAACTATAATTTTAAAATAATTTTATAATATGTGAAGAAATTTTTATCTTGATTAGCGTGAAAACACTTTTTTTTTACAAGTGGTTTCGCATAAAACCAAACACCCCAAACGTGGTATTGTTGATGTTATTTTTATTTATTTATTTATTTAATGGAAAAAAAAAAAAAAGACAACTTAACTTAGAAATGACCAGAACATCCATTGAATTTGCAAAATACCATTTTGGTCACATGAGACCAAATTGACATTATTATGTCAAATGAAAAGACCAAATTGCCTTTCATTTTATTCATTGTTTTTAAAATACTAAAACCCTCATTGACTGCCAGTTGCCGGAGCTCTGGCAGTAGCAGTCACTAGAGCTCTAATGACAGGCTGATAATTAGTAGGGGGTATTCAAGGCTGGTCCGTCCCGGTTGGCCTGTTCTAGTCCCGGCCTTATTGGGACGGGATGGACCCATCCTGAAAATTTTTGGGACTGGACAAATCGGTAGGGGACAAAAAAGGGACTGGGACGGGGTCATCACGTCCCGGTTCCTTTTTTAAAAAAATTTGTTATCCTATTTATATAATATCATTTTTTTCATTTTTTTGAAGATTTGAGACTATTATATGAAATTATAGATATATTTATTTAGAGCTTTTATATTTGTTGATAATTTGAGATTATTGATTATTAGAATTTTTAGCAAGTTTTTATTGTATTAAAAGCTTTTGTTTAGAATTTTTAATGACTATTATATGTAATATTTTGGATTTTTGTTTAAGAGTGCCCAAAAAAATAAAAAAGATATTTTTATAAGGCCTAAACCCAAAAAACTATAATTAAAAAAAATAAGGTTTTTATTTAAAAATTAAAAATATAAAAAATATATATATCAGGATGTCCCGGTCCCGTCCTGACCGGGACCGAGACAACACCGGGACAAGCCGGGACAAGAGACAGATTTTCTGTCTCGTTACTATTCACTGGGGCGGGCCTGTCCCGGTCTCGATCCATCCCGTGAGCAGCCCTAATAATTAGTCACCCAAGCTCTGGTGGTTGGAAATAATTTTCTTAAAATTTTTTACAATTTCAGTATAATGGTTAACCACTTACATAATGTTATTAACAACTTTAGTATAATAATTAACAACAGGTTTTCTGGGAAATTTAATAAGCTCCGGCAGCTAGAAACAATTTTTTTGAAAATTTTTACAACTTCAATATAACAGTTAATAACTTTTGTAACGCTATTAACAACTTCAATATAGCAATTAACAACAGGTTTTCTAGGAAATTCAACAAGTTCCAGCGGCCGAAAATAATGTTTTTGAAAATTTTACAACTTTAGTATAACAGTTAACAACAGGTTTTTGGAAAATTCAACAATTACTCACCGTAACTCCAACAGCCAGAAACAATTTTTTTGAAAATGTTTACAATTTCAATATAACGGTTAACAACTTTTATAATATTATTAATAATTTCAGTATAGCAGTTAATGGATTTTTTGAAAATTTCAAAAAGTAGCATTTTTATAACTTTAGTAATATTGTTAACAAGTTCTATAACTCTATTAATAACTTTTGTGTAGCATTTAACAACAAGTTTTCTTAAAAATTAAAAAAAATGGCATTTTTATAACTTTAACAGCTACTTTTTTTAAAAAAAAATTTACAACTTCAATATAATGGTTAACAATTTTTGTAATTCAATTAACAATTTCGATATAACAGTTAACAATAGGTTTTTCAGAAAATTTAAAAAGTAATATTTTTATAACTTTAATAATGCCGTTAACAAACTCAAAAACTTATTGTTAACTGATATACTTAAATTGTTAATAGCGTTACAAAAGTTGTTAACTATTATACTGAAGTTGTAAAAAATTTCAAAAAAAATTGTTTTCAGCTGCCGGAGCTTGTTGAATTTCCCAGAAAACCTATTGTTAATTGCTATACTGAAGTTGTTAATAATGTTACAAAAGTTGTTAAACGTTATACTTAAATTGTTAAAATTTTCAAAAAAAAATTGTTTCCGGCCGATAGAGCTCTGGCGACTAATTATTGAATTTCTCGAAAAACTTATTGTTAATTGATATATTGAAGTTGTTAATAGCATTATAAAAGTTGTTAACTGTTATACTAAAGTTATAAAAATTTAAAAAAAATTGTTTCCAGCCATCAGAGCTTGTTGAATTTCCCAAAAAACCTGTTATTAACTGCTATACTGAAATTGTTAATAGCGTTACAAAAGTTGTTAACTGTTATACTAAAGTTGTAAAAATTTTCAAAAAAATTGTTTCCAGCCACTGGAACTTGTTAAATTTATCAAAAAATCTGTTATTAACTACTATATTGAATTGTTAATAGCGTTACAAAAGTGGTTAACTATTATACTGAAGTTGTAAAAAAATTTAAAAAATTGTTTCCAACCACCGGAAACTCGAGTGACCAATTATCAGCCGTCGCTAGAGCTAAGGTGATTGTTGCCGCTGGAGCTCCGGCGAGCAGCCGACCAGTAGGGACTTTGGTATTTTAAAAACAATAAATAAAATAAAAGGCAATTTAATCTTTTCATTTAACATGATAATGCCAATTTGGTCTCATGTGACCAAAATGGCATTTTGCCAAAGACGTTCTGGTCATTCCCAAATTAATTTTTTTTTTTGTCTTTTTCCTTTTATTTAAATAGTTGTTGAAACTATACATGGTCACTTGAACTTGGTGCCAACCGAATGGTAAAAATGACTTGAGGGTTTTTTTTTTTAAAAAAAAAGAACTAAAGAGCAATATTATAAATTCACCGACCTTTTAAAATTTCAATTTAGTCTATATAACAAGTTTAAATTTTTACAAGTTTGGTTGGCCATTTAGAATTTTACAAATTTAACTATCATTTTACTGAAATTTTCTTTCAAATAATCTATTTATTTCTTTTTTATTTTAAGGAGTGTTTCGGGTGAAAACCAAACTATAATTTTAAAAATAATTTTATAATATATAAAATAAATATATATAAAAATTTTTATCTCTACCAACATAAAAGCACTTTTTAAAAGTGGCATCGAAGAAAACTAAACACTCAAGGTAGCGGTCAGTTTGGATTAGCAGTAGAATAAGTAACTTATTTTCAATTTGATTTTTTTAAAAATTAGATTGGATAAAAGTTAAATTAGATAATGTGATTTATATTTGGATTAGATTTTATAAAAATTAATTTCTAAAAATAAAAAAGATGTTTGGATTAGCTTTATAAGTAAGTCAGTTTGTAAAAGTAAAGTTGTTTGAATTATTATTAAAAAACTAAGTTTAATTATAAAATAACTAAGAAATAGATTTTATTAAATAAATACTCTTTTTAGTTCAAAATATAAGCATCAAACAATTAAATCATACAACTCAAAAAATTAAAACATATTTAATGATTTAAGTAATATTCCTTGTTTTGTGAGAAAAGTTTATCTAACTTTTGGCCAAAAAAAAAAGTTATTTAACATCTTATATTATGAATTAGAATGTTTATTCTTCTGGTTTTATTTTTGAGTCATTTCTAATATATTTCACACAAATAAAAAAAATTTAAACCTTATTAACTCTCATTTAAAATTCAACAACTTTTTAATTTTTTTATTTAATATAAAGTATATCTTATGAAGACAAAATCAATACAATAATAAAAAAAGTATAAAATTGTACGTTCAGAGAGAAAAATTTTGTCTTCATTTTATAAATAAGGCTAAAAGCTTTTTTTTTATCTTTCTACCTTATAAATAGAATCATAGGAGTATCATTTAATTTATTTTTTATGGTTGCAAATTTTTCAAAAATGGGATCCATATTTTTTCTTTCTCTCCACTTTTTTGATACTAAAAGCACCAACTTCTAACTTTTGGCTTAACTATGTAATTTTGGCTTAATTTCTTAATCTTTTAAGATGTTACAAACACACTTAATATTTATTTATTATCTTCAATTCTAATTATAAGAGTTAGTTAACTAATTTAAGGATATTAAGAAAAGAAGTTAAGTTAGTTATTTGTAATAAATATGTATCGTCTTTCTTAAAATATCCTTACTAATCAAATATATTGACTAGAAATATCATTGTTAAAAGAATTATTTTAAAATAAAATATATAAATATGAGAGATAAAATAAATTAAGACTAAAATAAAAGTAATATTTGCGAACAACAGTAACAATGAGTCAGTGATACTAACTTGAAGCGCGGGAAATATGGAATTTGGCGCAAGCATTGCCTACAAATATCCATATAGCGTTGCATTAGCTTCTCTCTGCTTGGAACAAATACAGAGCAAAAGAAACGAGCAATGGAGGATTCGGGAGCAATTCTTTCTCACATTTCATCTCTAAAGGACATGCTCGATCAGGTTCCTCTGCTTTTCAATCGCTTCGTTTCTTGAAGCTAAAGCTAGGGTTCTATTGACTAATCCGTTGTTCAACGATTTCCTTTTGAGAAGCAGGTTAATGAAGAAATCGAGGGTACTATACAGATCACGCGAGAGATAGAATCAGGGATCGTGAAATGTGAGGAAATTGAGAGCGGTTTTGTGGCAAGAGAAGCAGAGTTGATGAAAACAATTTACATGTTGCAGTTCGAGACTGTGGGATATGTCACCGTCGCTGGTAATCTCGGTCCTGCTTATCTCTTTTTGGATGTCGAGGTTAATTGTTTCATTTGAACAATGGAATGCGCTGTCTTAGGGTCTCTTTTTAAATTCTATCAGTTTGTTTTGCTTGAATGAAATATTGAAATGTGATTTGGTGGAAAAGAACTCAAAACAGGCGAATCAGGTATTCCAGCGGTACATTTTGAATTGAATTATACTGTCTTCGATAGTTACTTTATTCAATACCTAATGTATGCTTTCTCATGCGCGGAATGGTCATAACTCATAACTCACTGATCAGTGTATCTCTGTAATTTTTTTTTTGGGGGGGGGTGTTTCTGAACCGAAATGAATCAGTGGTTCGATTAAATCTTGCTTCATTTTATTTATCAGGATGCTTTTTCCTTCCTTGTGCTTGGGATTTGGAACTCATTCAATCCGAGAGCTAAAAAATATACCATTTGTTGAACCGACTAAGTGTAAAAAAAAATACGTAAAAAAAAGTACATTGATTTTAGATTTCAAACAGAGAAGTTGTGCTGGTAATCCTATAGTGTCATAAAGCAGATAAGATTTTTTTTTTTTTTTGGGTGTGAACAAGGTATCTCTAAGTCACATAGGACGTCCTCTTTACGGTGAGGCGGTTTATCACCTCCCTTTGTTTGTGATAAGATTATATTTTTATCATAACATCTAGATTGTCAAGAGAGAGGAAAGGTAGGATCCTTATAAATACATAAAATTCTCTGATAGGCATAAAACTACTGAAACCTTGTCATCCTTTATTTTATTGAAATGTCATAGAGATGCAAATCAAAAGATAAAAATACACGGTCCACTAAACACATCTAATAATCAAGTTCATCCGACAAATTTAACAGAATCAGTGGTCAGGACGCAACGAAAAGTAACACACCAACAGCTTAGGTCATAGAATACAGACTTCATACACTGACGTCGACAAGAAAGGTGCATTCTAGCCTTAAAAAAAGTCTCATTTGGGGTTAATATGGAACAATATAATATATGTTTGTGCGTTCCTTCAAGATTGGGCCGGATCACGAACCCAGTAATTGTAAGATTGTTTCTAATACACAGGGAACCTGAGAACCGCGAATATAAATGTCTTCTTTTTAAGAGTTTTGATAATTTTTCATGGTCTGGAGCCACGTTCAATTGGAATCAAGGTTCAGTGTTTTTTCTTCTTGGAAAGTTTTATTATAGCACAAATCCGCTAGCCATTTCCCCCTTCATTTTTTTTATAACACGCATGCTTAGCATCCAGGTCATGCGAAAGAAACGCAGGAAGAAGAAATGTTTTCTATTTGAATTTGAGACCTAGTAAGAAACATCATTTTATATTAAAGATATCAAATCTCTGTATTGTTCCAATTGTATCGGATGTCCCCGAAGAGACATTAAAGCTATCAAATCTAATTTCTCATGAAAATGCAATTTTATATACATATACAAGTTGCTCGATTCAAATGCGCCTTAAAGACTTACATGAAGACTGAGCAACATGTGCATACTTATGATGAAAGTGGATCGTTCCTTCCTAGATGTTCCATCTATTTGCTGCTTCCATAAAATTTTCTGGTTTCAATTTTTATTTTGCTTGTTGTCTGTATGATTTTTCCTTGACATGCAAGAACGCATGACAAAGAAAAATCATGTGCCAGATTCTAAAAGCCCTTGTATTTATCAGTGTAAAGAATCCCTATAAGCTGGAATCAAAATTAAATTGACTGACTATTGTTTTTCATGACCAGCAATTGGATAGTTATTTTATCTTTACTGTTCCAGGTTTCTTGTTTTTTGTAAGGTATTCAAATTTCTCGTTTTCATTTTCCTTATAACGTTCAGAAAAGTTGAAGGCCTCTGTAAGTTCTTTGGAGAAGGAGCTATGTGGCCTTAAGATGAAGCGGGCCGACATTGTAAAAAGAATTACTGAAAAGAGGTATTAAAAATCCTTATTATTTGTAGACGAATTGATCTCTTATATTGATCTCTTCTAACTCTGTGAGCAAAGGCTGCAATTATGACACATGGGTGTCCGTATCTCCCTTTAAAGAAGCAGGCTGAGATGGGAAAGAAAATGAGTGATGACGGATTTAAAACAATTCTTCATATTTGTAGATGTTGATATTGAAGTCTGCCTTGTTACGGGATTTTAAATTTCTGCAACTTTTTATATCAGAAGGTGGAATTTTGTTGGATGGGCGCTTTCATCTTCCTAAAATGAAGATGATGTTATATGGGAGCTAAAAGTTAGCTACATGCATAATATCAATTACTCCAAAAAAAACTTATTCAGTTAATAAAGACTTATTCAGTCCTATTTCAGGCTAAATTAATTTTCCAATATTTCATTTTGGTTTCTCAGCATATTTTTCCCTTAGTCAAGTGTTTCTGGGGATCGTGGAACTACACACATGATAGAATCACAACAATAATGTAACGATGTCTTTGTAATGTTCCCTAATGGAATTTCCTGGTTTCATGTAATATATGTAATTTGTTAAGTTGGCACATGCAGCGTTGCAATTTAGATCCTGATGACTGAGTGATTAGTGTTGTGCAGGGAAAATTTTACGGCTACGTGCCTTAGATTTCAGGCTGACATTGACGGGAGAGAAAATTGTGAAGTAAGGGCATTGTTGTCAGAGAAAGATTCACTTGAAAATGAAATTCATCTTATGGATAAAAAACACAGTGTTTTAAAAAATTCGGTGTTGGCATTTGTGGAGGAAATTCTCGAAGATCTTAATAATTCCAACTCAGGTGATATTATTTTCCTTTTATCTCTATCAACCTGTGCTACGTAATTGTTGACATCACAGTTACATGAAGTAGTTCATGACCATTAATTCTCTTTTTTGATGTCTGTATCTGATTGTTTCTACGTGTGTCTTAGTTCATTTCGGGACTAATACTGCTTTCGATTTTAATATAAGCGCTGGTTTGACTTTTAATTTGATCTTAAATATAAATCCTAATCTACTTTGTCTCTCATATTTATCCATTTTTTCTAAAATAGTCCTAGTAGTAGATTTTACATGTTAAATATTTCTTCAAATGACACTTGATTAGTAAGAGTATTTTAGGGAAGATAACACCTATTTATTACAAATAACTAATCTAACTATTTTTTTAATCTACTCAAATCAGTCAACTAGCTCTTATATTAAGAATTGGAGGTAGTATTTGAACTTATTTTACATACAGGGCTTTCTGGGAATCCCTCCCCCTGCTTTGTGTTCTTATTTCAGTTCAAGTGATTTTTTCATAACTATTTTATATTTAATTGGTTCATAGTGTTACTTAATGCGGAGTACTTGATATGATGTCATCTGTAAGTAACATAGAGGACAGATATTGACCGCCAGGAAAACAGGACAAGAGTGATATTGCATAGCTTTTCTTCCCTTTTATCTTCAGAGATGGACTGCAAGTTCATAAGAAGTGAACAGTAGCTTTTAGGCTCCTATGTTTAGCCCAAGTGGTTGATATAAATATCAACTCACATAGAAATACATACATGAACCTCCAAAGACTTTAGGAAGGTGCTCTAATATGTCATTCAAAATATGTATAAATTTAGCTTACATTCTTAATGAAAAAGGAAATTCGAACTTTAATTCTACAACTACAGGCATTTATCAAGGTCCAAGGTGAAAATATAGTTTTTCTTGAACTAACAAGGATTTAATAATTGTGGCTCAAGTCTGCCTGCATGGCAGGTTGCTGGAGTAAGTGACATGGTAGTAGTGCAGCGTTACAGTAGGTCACCTTTTCCTGCAGAACTTGGGAAAAACTGAATTACTATATGGATGTTCATATTCATATTTTATCTAGACTCTTATGTTCAATTATGGAGTTCAATTTCTTGAGTATAAGATGAGTGCTGGATATAACCTGCCAGAATGGACAGTGATGTATTGCAACCTTTCCTTCCCCTTCCCGTAACCCCTCCTGCAGCGTTTGAAGTTGAGATACAGAGGAAGAACTGGGAGAATGAGAAATTGCTCAAGGATATAAATGATTTGAAGAATACACTGCTTTCAGCTATTGGGACCAACGATGATCTACCGTAAAAGCTTTCCTCAAAACTTTGATTCATAGATCTTTAGTTTCAGATGTCAGTATTGTCAAGTAGGTCATCATAGATTTTTAAGCAGGATTTAGAACTGTGATATATGGAATTTCTTGATGATAAAGACGCGGTTAAGGCTTAAAAAACTAGCGGTCATTGTGTTTTAGTTCTTATATTTTCCTTGAATGAATTATATGACTCAGAACTCAGATGTAGTTGTCCTTTGGTTCAACAAAATTTAGCAACGCGATGTGTCATTTTCATCCATTGACCAACCTATTGACTTCTTTTGGAATATGTAAAGATTCGTGACTGGCAAGAAATGGTTGCTTACTGCATGTGTGTATTTGGAGCAAAACTAAGTTATGATCCCCAAAACCTTGCAATGTAATGAATATACAACTGTTGCTCTGTAAAAGTTGGCAGGTCAAAGTAACTGCAACAGTGTTGGTCAAATATCATTTTGTTGAATTCCCTGTTCCTCACAGAGTGGGAGCTTTCCAGGCAACAAGCTGCTTGCAGTGATGCAGCTTTTCCTGTTTGGATACAGTTGGCGCCTGGATATAATGTTTTCATGAACGTGTCCAGAGGTGGAGGTCAAACTTCAGACTCCCGAGACTTTTTTCATGCCTGTTTAAAATTGGGTAGGTTGATACAATAAATCTTTTGATTTGGTGCTTTCTGCATAAACTATTTGGCTTTGTTCATACTTGGAAAGAGACTTTCCCTTAATATATATTCTGGCTCTCAACTTGGTCATTTAAGTTGCTTGGGACCTTGGGTGGGGGCCCTGTACCATCCCTTAAGCTGCTTTGTTTTTTTCTCCCATTTTATTGCAGAGACTATATGTGATTGTTGTGTCACTATCCATTCTAGTCTGGTTGTCCATTGGTTATTGCTCCAGAGCGAAGGAGGAACAAGGTTTTTCAGCTTATTATAACGGTTAAGTTTATTGATAAATGATAAATCTATAGATTTCGATCAAAATCACTGAACAATTAGCCTCGGCTGCAATTGTAAAGTTTTAAAATTTAAGCTTAGCATAAACGTCCATCAATCTTGTGCATTCAAGCTTGTTACTCAGGAATGGGTTTTAACTTTTTTAAATTGAATGGTTTGGTCGCTTGAGCTGGCCTTGAACAAGTTAAAAATTCATAGTTGTGATGTCTCTATTTATTTATTTTACTTTACCCTTGATTCATTTGTATGATTGCGATGCCTTTTCCAATTATTGAAGTATTCTACTGCTTATATCCCACAAACGCAGATTTTCTAGAGTAGAACTCAACTGAAGTTTGGAGCGAGAAAGAGATGAAGAGGTAAGATTAATTTTCTTATTTGTGAGTTCTACAAAAATGAGTTTTTACTCTTTTTCCTTTCACTTCGGTTGAATTCAGTTTAAAAGATCTATTTTGGAAACTCCACCATTAAGTTGAACCTCCGACCATGATGTTTAGGACATTTATCAGCCCAATTAGTACATGCTTGATTTTGCAACTTTCGAAATAAATTTACTCGTACTGGTTTTGGTCAAAACCGCGTGTTGTTGGTAGGGAAAATATAACTGCGCTGCTAGATAAGATTCATACAAAGCTTCACATGCCCAGCTCAACCAGAGGATCACTTGAGCAATTGGTTTTTGCCTGGCGTGGAAAGAATGAAATAATAATAAGCCTCGTTTGATGGCACTATGAAATATTCTTTAATTGCAAATGTCTAGCATTATTTAGAATTAATTTATTTTATATTCAGATTAAACAAAACTCTTTATGTATGAAACTATTTTTTATTTCATTGTATTTTATTGTCAAACATGTCTTTCCAGGCGGTGCTGCTAATTCATCTCAACTGTTGCAGGAACAGGGCAAGCGACAATGATGTGAGTGGTCGGTCTTAGTCATTTTGGTTTTGGACTAAAATGTGGCTTCAATCTGTACGGTGATTGCAAGAAAAAGGGTTGTGGATGCAAGATGCCATATTTGTCAATTCTATGCCAAATCATTGTAAAGTGATTACACGGCAGCCCTACAAGCTACTAATTCAAAAATGGTTGCTTCTAAAGCAAAGCCTGGAACCCAAAAGACGGAAAACAACGTGAAGCTCCTTCACAGCCAAGTTAAGTAGCCTGTGGCTTACAAAATTTAAACTAGAGATGCAATAACAACAACAACAACAATGTTGAGTTTATTTTATTCCTCCAATTTTTTTAAAAAAAATAAAAATGAGTCATTAATGATAAAATTTTTAAAATTTATTTTTTCCATGCATTTAATCATAGACTTCTCTCATATTAAAAAAAAAAAAACAGTTGAATATTGAGTGCAATTCAGGATTTTTTCTAAAAATTATTTTACCAGTATCTATACTTTTTTTCAATTTTTAATTTGCTATAGGTACTAATGGTGCCAAGTGATTAAAATTAAAGGATTTAATTGAAAAAAAAACTTATAGATATCAAATTAAAAATTAAGGGAAAATATAAATACTTTCAAAATAATTTTTTTAAAAAAAATTTTAACGTCGTGGTCAGTGAATCCTGTTGAAAGTTTTGTTGTAAACTTAAATTGACATGATGTATATACTATGTAGCCAAGAAATGTGGTGATTAAAAATGAATGGAAGTTAAATGATAAAATAAACAAAGGTTGTCTACTGTGTTACAGACAGTGATCGTGCCCTTCACGTGAACATCACGTGCGGAGGTGGCTTGGGTACCTTACAACAATGTCTTATCTATTTAATTGTGCTAACAAGATCAGATGGGGTCCTTTTCTTTTTATTGCAGGTGGCCATAGAAAAGAAAGAGGGGGTTTGAATTTTGAGCCACGAGTAGGTGAGTTTTATAATATTCTCTCCCCTATTCTCCATTTTCATGCTTCCTTCCATCACTTGTCCCCCTTTCATATACATCAGCCACATATCTATCCAAACTGAATAGGAAAAGAAAGTTCAAAATTTCTTGCACATAATAATTTAAAATAGAACAAATAATTCTAATAGTTTTGGACGTGCACGAGCACTAACACAATATGTGGAGAAGGCACAGTCTGGAACTATATATACTATGAATGGATGGACGGAAGAGTAGGACCAGTATGATGTGATAATTTGCTTTATGCCTTTAGAGTAATAAATTTAATTATGTGTTTTATATAAAATAGATTTAGTAAATTGTGGGGTTGATTCATAATTATATATTCAGGCCAAAATAAAAATAATTATGGTGGTCTCATATGAAGCTTCTAATTCATCATTAGTCATCATCCGTACTTAACTAGTCTTTCGTTCAAGTATCTCTAGGAGGATTAGATACCTTTAGAAAAGTTATTCTTGATAATTACTACTTCTGATCCTAATTATAAGATGTTATTTATAGTTTACAAACAAGATTTTATAATTGGGACCATAAGTAATATTTATCATCAGTTGTAAGCTTCTAAATATAATTACAGAAGATTCTATATTTCAGTGTTATTAAAATTTCTATAAAAAAAAAAAGACGTAAATTTCATTTTCGTGGTTCAGTATTAATTGATTTTCCTTTTCTTTTATTTAATATTCAAAAGTTTGTATAAAATTCTAATATTTTTGCCCAATGACATCAGAACAAACTCTAACAAAAAAGGACTGTAAAATTTTGTTAGTTAGTCAATCATATTAAGATTATTATCAATATATGATGTAAAATATATCACAAATCTTGTTGGCAAAAAAAAATATAACAAATCATGATATTTATACGTTATAAATAGTCTAATTATTTTAAAATGCAATGCACGGGCTAACCTTTGGCTGGAAAATACCGTTGTAGCTTAATTAAATGGATGTTTAGTCACCTATTTTCCTACTTGCATATATGTTTTGGCTAATCTGACTTCCATGCTTTGACAAATAATGGTATCCAAAATTTCCGTCGATTTACCCTTAACCGAATATTAATGTTTTAAAAGAAGGATCAGTTAAGTCGATTGATTAAACAAACAAAATAGCGATTGAAACTGTTTCCGTTATCATTGAACGGCTTTCAACAGCTTCCTTAAAATAATTTTTTCGGTTATTTTTTTATTGGTAAACTAGATAGCCTTCTATTACATCAAATGGCTAAAGTGTTCAAAACCTCTTCTTCTTTTTTTTTTTTTAAATTCCTAGCCACTAGGAATTAATAAGCCTCAGCCACTAAGCACTAAGTCAATTACTTTCCTTTTGGCTAGGCCATTTCGGGATGAAAACTATTTTTGATTATTATAAAAGGTTCACAAGTGTCAATATTTTCATCATTCCAAAAAGTAATATAATGAATGGGATTGTAGCAGCTGAAGATACTAGATGGTCTTTTTTATAGATTAATAATCATCTAATAAATTCGGTGGCCTTTTTTATGCCCAGCTGCTTAGAAGATAAATGTCCTTCATGTTTATAATAAACATTGATCCCACTACTGTGTTAGTTAATATTACAGTAATGGTTTTATCAAATGCTTTATGTGGGATTTTTAACTTAGGAAAAAGCTTGGATGTGTATGTGAACTGTGAAAATCACATTAGAAACTTCATGAATAAACACAACAAGACATAGGATCAACCCAAAATAAGTAGATGGCATGAGGGATAATTGGGTTAATGAGTTTCAGTAGATAAAAAACTCAACATATTAAAGAATCCCATACAAAAATTTCTTCGAAAGACTCAAAATATGTTTTTGAAATAAGCATAAAACATATAAATC